GAAGAAGACAGCTCACATCAGCCTTAGCCTGCATGAGCACATGCATGAATCCACCAGGCACACACACCTGACACAGTAACACACACACACACACACACACACACACACACACACACACACACACGTCAGTGTTTCTGCTTTGCATTTGATCCTGAATATCAGCTGGCATAATACTTGGTAGTACAAATCAACTCTATTTTTAGATAAAACCCATATCAAATGATATTATAGATTTGATTCAGGAAGAATAATAAATCACAAGACTATTTAAAGATAGCATTGAAAACTGTGTTATTGAACAATGATTTCAAAGTAAGTGAGCTTTCAAGTCAGGATCAATGAAGTGAATGGTGAGAGAGTAAGGTTCCGTGTAGACGATGGATAAAATGGGATACACTTAAAATCCGAAACTCATTAAAAACACTCAAAACATAATCTTGGTATTTGGAGACAAAGCCTTCAGATGTTTCAACAGATATGATTTCATCTAGAATATATTCAATTATATAAAATGATGAAAACTTCTATCTACCTGTCATCCTTTCTTCTGCTGAACAATCTGGATTGTTCTGTTTTGTTTGTGGGGCCTATCGTATCTGACATGTGTGTGCTGACGGCATGCGTGTGTGGGTGAGCCTGCTAGCAGGATGCAAGCTCCATCATTGTTCTGGGTTTTACATGACAGCTGCTTTCTTCTAACATTCTTGCCTTAGGTTCACTATCTGTTGTGAGTCATCAGTACATTATTTTCCCCTAGGTTTTCTTTATTATGTTATTTTTAAAGTCAATTTTCCTTAAGATTTTAAATGGTTTCTGGCATGTTGGAAGAGATCTTTAAAACCCCAGCACTGTGGAAGCAGAGGCAGGTGGGTTTCTGTGTCTCCAGGACAGCCAGGGATACATAGAGAGAACCTGTCTCAAAACAAAATTAAAACAAAAGAAATCTCACATGGCTAAAGATGTATTTCCTCCACGTAGAAAATGAAAATTATGATAAACTAGATAGTTGAAATAGGCATTAGGTAAATCTATGTACTAGCCTGTTATTACAATTGCATCCACTAGCAAGTTGGAGACTCAGTCATTTGTATATACTTTATAATTTAAGTTTCCATGTTAGTCATTGTCGAGTAGATTTTCAGCTACTTTTTAAGAATGAATACTTTGTTTTCCCCCAGGCATATTTTACACAGCAGGCCACACCTCCTATGACTGTGGAACTGAGTTGAGTCCTGCTCTGGGACACGTTAAGGAGGACTGTTCCCACACATTCCAGTGGTTCTGATTAATGCACATCCTGAGCCTTCTTGGACTTCTTCATTAGCTAGCTTTGAAACTGTGAAAATATAGATGATTTAAATAACTCAGTCTGGTCCCAGGTGTGCATATTTTATCACTAGCCCAAGAAAACTTTGGAATTTACTAGATGTGTTTGTTCCTTTTCCTATAGTCCATCTTAGCACCTCACACTAGCAAAGTAGGCATGAGAGTGGGGAACTCAGCCATTTCTTCACCTTCAGCCAAAATATCATTCTCACAGCTTTGCTGGGCATCTGTTTTTTGCTGTGACAAGTTTTCTAAGTCAGGGAATTGGTTGTGAGGTTTTGGTGATGTGAGAAATGACAGCTCATCTACTGAGTGATGCTGAGTCGTCTTCTCTCCCTTTCCCTTCAGCCTTACTCTGTAATATATATATTTGTCTTGTGTTGTTTTTTTATGTTTTGCTTTTTTGTGTATATTGCTATTAGGTTCAGTTTTTAGTCACATACAACACTTTCAGTAGCTTTGAGCGGTTGTAAGGAAGAGCCTTAAAAGCTCACATATAGACATGGTATTAATTAGGTAACGTTTTTGTTGTGAGCATGTGGCTGTCTGCTGGAACACCTTCAGAAAGAGATGCAGATGCCTGCGGAGCTGGGGTGCTGATGGGCACATGTGTGGCTGACATCAGATGAGACGGCCTGCAGTCTGTCTACCTTGTGTTTTCCCTCTTGCTTTTCTTCAAGCCCTTCTCACTGCTTCAATGACTTTTTAGCCAGACTTGTTTGATTTTATGTTGTTTGACTGACAGTAGTCTCTTTTTCCTGAAAGAATGTTGCCAATATTTTGTGGAAAGGATGTTATCTTTGTGGAGACTTTTTATTTTACTTGATGTTACATATTCCTTCACACCCATTCTCAGCCTGTGTACCTGAAACTGTGATATTTCTGTGACATAGCCAGTCATAATAATGAGAACAGTTCCTGAGCTATAGCAACAGCTTAGTATATAGCAACTGTGATTGTTAACAATAATTTTCATGTCAGTATTATACCAGGCATAGTACTCGTATGTAACTTCCTGCGTGATTCACTTGAGTCAGTGCTCGTTGGTACAAAGCACTGAGCATAGTGCCTAAAATGCAGTGTTTGAAAGGCAAATGTGTGCCGGGCAGTGGTGGCCCACGCCTTTAATCCCGGCACTTGGCACTTGGGAGGCAGAGGCAGGTGGATTTCTGAGTTCGAGGCCAGCCTGGTCTACAGAGTGAGGTCCAGGACAGCCAGGGCTGCACAGAGAAACCCTGTCTCGAAAAACCAAAAAAAAAAAAAGGGAAATGTGTAAGCGGAGCAGGGAGAAACAAAGGGATTGAGTACATAGTGCTTGCGCTGTTCCATCGCTTACATTCTTGGGGTTACTGCACCTTTAACTTGCTCACGTGGGTAAAGTCTGCTGGCTCCCACTTCATGTTCAGACCCTGCTCTTGTTCCTGTTAAGCTAACAGTGCTGGATCTGGTCATGTGACTCCCTCATTTGGATGGTTGTTCTCTGACATTCCTGTGTAAAGTTGTATATTTAATATATCTAAGGAATTCATTAGATTCTTATACATTCCTAGCCACACCCATTCAGATCTGATGCTCAGGTCCAGGAACCTGTTTTTCCCCAGAACTCCTGATGATTCTGCTTTAGAGGTGCTCTGGTTTGCAAAATAAAGTTCAAAAGCTGCAGTGTGATCTTGTAAACTCTTAGTGAACTCTGGCCCCTGTCCTTCCTCTTGATCACCTGTGGGTTCTTCCGCATCCACCACATGATTTCCAGTGCCATTCATCTTTTCTATAGTTTGCTTTCTTTCCATATGAGTGTTTTCTGCTTGCTCCAGGTAGCTCTCTGTAAATCACCCGAGATACATTTCTCTGCTATGTTCCCTTAGTTTCACATTGACTATTAAATAGTATAACTTTATCTTTTTAGGTATATTCTTTAGGTTGTTTTACTGTAGTATAGTAAGATTTATATCCTCCTGTAAACATCATTCAATTCAGGGAAGCTTATATAATGGAGATAGAGATAACATCTGCTTGAATAATTGTGTAAGTGATTCTGGATGCTGAACAACTTGAGATGTTTTGCAAATGATGATAGAGGATATGGAGAAGGAATGTGGCCCCAGTGTAAATGTGTGCAGACGTCCCCCTCTTGGGAACTGTTTCTGGGACCTACAAGTGATTTGGTGTTATAGGATGGTGTTGAGAGGTGACATGGGGACGAGCGGCCGCATGTTTTGAAAGACGGACATCTCGTGCTTCACAAAGAAATCTGGACTTCTTCTCAAGTTATAAAATGCTATTGATAATCTCAACCTAGAAACATAGTCAGGGCGGATGGAACTGGAGACAGGATACTAGTTAACGAAACTTATTGTAACTATTTCTTGAAGAGTTGATGAGCAGTAGGAATCATTTCATAAGACTTTTAGTGCTCTTTGTTCATTAAGTCTGACTCTCTGGTTGTTCAGAGTGAGTAAAGCATAGTTTGTTCATGTTTTGAAATTGCCTCAGAGAAGGAAGTTAAAAGAAGCTAAAATAATAGCCATATAAATATTTCTGAGATGGTAGATGTAAAATGTTAGGGAACTAACCTCTGTGGGCTAATCTTTGCCTGGGACAAGTAACAGTCCTCTCCTCAACATGAATGAGATCTAGTTAACAAAGAAATGTATATATTTAAGGCAAGCATTCACTGTACTGCTTTGATGTGTGTCTATGTTGTGATTGAGAATTAGGGTCATGGAGGAGAGAAGGATGTCGTGGAGGATGAGTGAAGACTCATGCCAAACGACAAATAGGAGCAGCTGTGTGTCCCTGCTCACAGAAACTACTGTACAGGAGCCTGGTGGAGCTGAAAGGAGAGTTTATAAATGGGCCTTGAATTTGGGCTCAAGGAATCTATGTTTTATTCTATAGTTTTAATTTCCTAGTTATGAAAAATATATGTATTAAATTGTACATAATTAACACAAGCTGGAATCTGAACAAAACGTTCTATGATTCCATCAGAAAAATAATTGCTGTTTACATTCTGGCTAACATTTCTTCCCATCCTCCGAGTTTTACACATATACATGCACACACACCTAATAAGTGAAGTGTACAGTATACACTCTTATCTCCACAAGCCATACAGAAAAGAGTGGAGGACCTGGTCTCAGAGCTGGCCCCAGATGCTCTCCACTCTCACTAGATTTGGCTGAAACGGACAGTAAGTAAAGGAGAGAAATAGAGGGAACACAGTCAGGACTGATGTACTTGTATGATCTAAAAACCAAAAGGCCTGATTGTGTCTTTATGGAGAGAGTTTGTAAGCGGCAAAAGGATTCCAGCGTGTGGTGCTGCAGACAGACCTGCAGCTTCTGCTGTGCACCGCACTTCATTTTCAGAGTCCGCTGATGTTGCTGAAACCAATTTTAATGAGTATGGAGACTCCCACTTCAGTAATAAGCTTTTATTAATATATACTTGGTTGTGATTAATTGTTATTCTAATGATTTTGTCAGTGTAAAGTTCTAATTGCATATGCCATATCTTTTACATGTTCCTGGTTGGCAAAGATATGTTAATGATCCAGAACTCCTAAAAAGACAGCCTCATAAGCATTTTAATTCAGCTATTTATTGCTCATTAATGGATGCTGAAATTAAACACTTTGAATTGTAACTATTTTTTAAAAATATTTGTTACAGGGGAATTTACCTAAATATTCTCATAACTCCCTGATGGTTCAAGCAATAAAGACAAACCTAACAGACCCGGATATCCATGTGCTTTTCTTTGATGTGGAAGCTTTGATTATTCAGCTCCTGACTGAAGAAGCCTCTAGGCCGAATACTGCACTTATTTCCCCAGAGAATCTGCAGAAAGCATCTGGCAGTTCAGACAAAGGGGGCTCTTTCCTAACTGGAAAACGAGCAGCAGTTCTTTTCCAGCAAGTGAAAGAAACTATCAAAGAGAACATAAAGGAGCACCTCCTCGATGAGGAGGAGGATGAGGAGGAGGTGATAAGGCAGAGGAGGGAAGAAAGTGACCCTGAGTACCGTGCCAGCAAGTCCAAGCCACTGACCCTACTAGAATACAACCTTACTATGGATACTGCAAAATTATTCATGTCCTGTCTCCACGCCTGGGGCTTGAATGAAGTTCTGGATGAAGTTTGTCTCGATCGCCTCGGAATGCTGAAACCACACTGCACCGTGTCCTTTGGTCTCTTATCGAGAGGAGGTCATATGTCATTGATGCTTCCTGGTTATAATCAGGCTGCCGGAAAACTGCTACCTGCGAAAGTAGAAGTAGGAAGGAAGCTGCCAGCCACGGAAGGTGTAGGCAAGGGGACCTACACAGTGTCTCGGGCGGTCACCACTCAGCATCTGCTGTCCATCATATCCCTGGCAAATACTTTAATGAGTATGACCAATGCAACTTTCATTGGAGATCACATGAAGAAGGGCCCCACCAGGTGTGACTATGATGCTCAGTCTTGTTCTTTATTTTCCAAAGTGCTAAGAGAACCATTCTCTGTATTTTTTTTTGGCTCTGCACACATTCTCTACTTTAGTCACGTTAGTGATTTCCCATTTAAACTGTAAAACAGACATTTCTAAAATGCCAAGTTTAAAGTACGATAAAATTATAGCACATGTATGTATGTGTGTACATATATATATGTATATATATATATATATACACACACAAACATACTTAGTAGCTATTTTAAATGGATTTACAATGTAGGACTTGGTCATAGAGGATAACTCTTTTTTTTTTTTTGAGACAAGGTTTCTCTGTATAGCTCTGGCTGTCCTGGAACTCACTTTGTAGACCAGACTGGCCTCGAACTCAGAAATCTGCCTGCCTCTGCCTCCCAAGTGCTGGGATTAAAGGCGTGCACCACCACCGCCCGGCAAGTAAATAAAATCTTAAAACAATTTTTTTATTTAAGATAATTTTATTTTTCTGTGATAACCCTGATTGGTCTGGAACTCAATATAGACAAGACTGGCCTTGAGCTCAAGCTCACAGACTGGCCTAACTCCAATATATATATATATATATATATATATGCCATGTATATGAATACTTTTCAGATTAGTGTATTCTTCCATGAATTCCTGTGTGCTAGTGACAGTGGGGTAGACTGAACTCCCAGGATGTTAGCAGTAAGAGGAGAAGGCTAAGGATTATTTTGACTTGTCAACTGTAGTTCACTGGAGTGTTCAAAAATACATGTTAAGAGTAACAGAAAGTATGCATTTTAGTTTAACTTGTATTTTCTACCTCATAATCATGTAGTTATTTTACTGGAATTCAAAATGGATAACATAAATAAGTATGAAACTTAGAAAACGGTCATCTTTTTGGAATAGTAAGCTGAAAATGTTCTGTGTGTGTTTGTTCTTCATCTAGAGAGTAACAATTTGAACCTCTTTGGAAGTAGGAAAATGTTCAGTGTTTCTTTCTTCTTTTAAAGGCCGCCTAGACCAGGCACCCCAGACCTTTCTAAGGCAAGGGATTCCCCTCCATCCTCCAGTAACATTGTGCAAGGACAGATTAAACAAGGTAAAATTGAATCTTATAAGTAATTGACATGGCATTTCAGCGGTAGAGACGGAGAAGGCATTGCTAATGTATAATCATAATATTTTGTTTGTCTCAGATTGTTAAAAGAGAGAAAAGTTGTTATATTCCAGATGTAAATATGGATAATTAAGATGTCAGTTAAAAATAAATCAGATTTATTTGGAAATTGATAACTGAGCATATTTCAGCTAATTTTATTATATGGTCTTTGGTCTAATTTGTATGTATTAGGGCCACCTTCATTTGACAACACTACTTAACTGTGTATGTCTTAAGTTTAAAAGTTATACCTATTTTTAACTCTGCTTGGGAATGTTTGAATTCAAAGATTTATGCTGTGACTTACGTTTTGCTGTTTGCTAGTGGGGTCTATGTTGCTAGTCACAAGTCAAAATGCCTATTAAACTGTTCTTTGTATTTAAATAATAATATACCATAACTTTCATTTTTAGCTTTGTGTTTTATTAGTGAGTAGGAAGAGAAAGGCTGAATTTCTCCTTTTGAAATCAATCCTAAAAATTTCTGTGAATTAACATACTATTACCCTTTTATGTATGTTTTCTAGCCTTTTAAGACTAACAAATGAAATACTAACACCCCCCATGAAGAATGTTAGGGGGCCACTGTGCTCTCATAACTATCTTGGGCCAAGATCAATGCTGAATTCCCTGAAATGAGATGATGTTTAACCTACTTAGATGACAGGCCTGTGTTTTAGACAGTAGTATATACTGCCCACTGTCCTAATTATGGACCATAAGGTCCGACGCGCTGAACCCTTCCTTTCTAGGTCTTTAGACCTATGGGGTCCCTTTCTCATTTCTCCGTCCTTTAGTAAAGTTATAGTATCACTTTAGCATGGTTTACATTATCAATATACAAATCATATATAGAGGTATTTAGATAATTGCATTGTATGCATTGCATACATTATACATGTATAAAAGCATACAAAGCAGAAATGTCTATAAGCTGAGCATTTTTGCATACATGTAGAAGAGGAGTAGAACTTGGGTGGCACTACAGAAACTCCCTGCGTGTTCTTCACGGTGTCTCCCTCTCCCCAAGGGGCTAAGGATTGAGCATCCCCCATCTAGAATATGAATCTGAAATGAATGAGGATCTGAAACTTGAGTGTCTTTAAGATTTTAGAGTATGTCTCACATAGTAAGTTATAGTCGGGACAAAGGTGCACTTAAAAAGAAATCCGGCTGAAGCACAAGTGGTATATAAAACAAACGAAGTCTCTATTTACACTTGACTCTTCTCTGCAATGTAGCTCATCATGCTGTGCAGTATTTCAGAATTAGAAAAAGCAGCAACTCTTAAAGTGTTTTTGGAAATTTTCTGGTGACCTCTTACCTTTTTATTTATTCATTTTTAATTTTTTCTTCACTGTCATATCATCTATATTTAAATTCATAAACTTTATGCTTCCTTTTGCATTTCTTGAGATTTGCTTGAGTTATTTCATTGTACAGGACCTATAGTCTTTCGTTTGGCCTCTACTACCAGACTTATTAGTTTTATTGCATTGGAACAAAAGCTTGTTACGTTTGTTGCTATGTATTATACTGTTGAATGAATAGACAAAATTTATACGTTATTTTGCCTGTTTAGATTTTTTCCAGTATGCTCTTTACTGCATTAGGAGGATACCCTAATATTACTAATCTGTTGAGATTTTAATTTATTAATAGTTGTTGAATTTGGTTAGATTTTCTTCCTGTATTTGTTGAAATTATTTTATAATTTTTCTCTATTTTCTTCATGAGATAAACAATGTTGGCGTTTTTGTTTGAAAACCACTTGGTATATAGAGCATACTTTATTATGATGACTTATCCATTTTATAGGTTATTACATATAACTTGTAAAACTTGTTTAAAATATGTAGTGGTCATAGGGATTTTAGTGTGTAGTTTCATTTCTGGTAATGGCTTTCTGACAGGGTAATGGCCTCAGAGAGTTAGTGAAAGATAATTCTTTAACTTTTCTATAGAGTTTGTATAGATATATATGATTGACTCTGTTTCGGGTGTCTGACTCCTTAGCTGAAAGCTGTAGGGCTCAAATGCATAGATTTTTAAAAAAACTATGTATTTTAATTTTTGTATATACTTCAAGTTATGTTTTCTTATTTGTTTTTGCCTCTTTATTTTAATAATTTTCTTCATACACTTTCTATCAAATTTACTAGGCAAAAAGTTATAGAATTCTTAAAATTCTCTTTTTCATTTCTGTCATTCATCTTCAATTTTTTTTAAATGCAGGTAGCCTAGTACAAAACAATTTTTAGGTCTTCTCTAAGACCCAGGTATCCTCAGTTGAATTCTACGATTCTTCTGCTTTCTAGGTGTTTGGTTTATGTTTACTAACATCTTGTCATTTCTAGGTTAAGTTCACTCTTAAACACTTAGTTTCTTTCTTTTTTGTTTGTTTGTTTGTTTGTTTTTCGAGACAGGGTTTCTCTGTGTAGCTTTGGCTGTCCTGGAACTCACTCTGTAGACCAGGCTGGGTCTAACTCAGAAATCCGCCTGCCTCTGCCTCCCAAGTGCTGGGATTAAAGGCGTGTGCCACCACTGCCTGGCAACACTTAGTTTCTTAAGGGGAACCTGAGTTTAGTTAATGAGATACTGCTGTTTTCCCTGATACTCTTCATATTTAGTGCTGACATTTCTTCCCAAATACTGCTTAGTGGCAGCTCCCACAATTCTCATTGCTGTGCTTTTACCTATCAGCAGTTAATTTAGTGAGGATGTATTTAATTCTTCCAACATTTCCAAGATTTTCCAAGAGTCCATCTGGGTCCTCATTGATAGTGAAATAATAATTACTTGAATGATTGTAATCATTTCAAATTTTTCAAATTTACTTCTTCAAAAATACTTGTGTATATTTGTGGCACATATGTTTCAACATATTTGTATATTGTGAGATTGTTAAATCAAGCTAATTATTAAATGTATTACGTTGCCAGTGTGCACACATACATCTGTGTAGCTGTGTCTGTGCATCCGTAAGAAGTGCATAGTCTGCTGTTGGGTTGCAGTTTGTTCAGTGATAATGTACAGTTGATCATTTTCTGCCTTCTTGTCTGTATTAAGTAAGTAAAGACTATTAAAACCTGACACCATAATAACTCAGTTGCTATTCTTCCCTTCACTTCTGTAAGATTTTATTTTATGTTTTTTTTTTAAGCTCTTTGTTAGTTACATAAGCATTTGGACTATCATTCTTTTTTTTTTTTTTCTTTTTTTTTTATTGGATGATTTATTTACATTTCCTATGTTGTCCCCTTACCCCATCCCCCACCACCCCCTCGGAACCCCCAATCCCCTCGCCCCTCCTCCTTCTTCTCTGTGGATGTAACCTCTATCTACACCCCCCCACTCCCACCTCCCCACCCTCAAAATTCCCACCCCCTGGGGCATCCAGCCTTCATGAGGTCAAGGTTCTCTTCTTCCACCTATGCCCAGCAGGGCCCTCCACTTTTACATATTCAGCTGAAGCCCTGGATCCCTCCCTAAGTGCTCCCAGGCTGGTGGTTTAGACCCTGGGAGCTGTGGTTGGTTGGTATTGTTGCTCTCCTCATGGTGCCACAAACCCTTTCAGCTCCTTCAGTCTTCACTCTAACTCCTCTATTGAGAACCCCATGATCAGTTCAATGGCTAGTTGTGAGCATCTGCCTCTGAATATGTCTGACTCTTGAAGGCCTCTGAGGAGATATCCATATCAGGCTCTTATCAGCATGCACTTCCTGTCTTCCACATCAGCATCTACCTTTGGTGATTGCACATGGGATAGATACTCAGGTGGGGTGGTCTTGAGACGGCCCCTCCTTCAGTTTCTGTCCCTCACTTTGTCTCCATATTTGCTCCCTTGAGTATTTTGTTGCTCCTTCTAAGAAGGACCGAATCACCCTCACTTGGTCTTCCTTCTTTATGGGCTTCATGTGGCCTGTGAGTTACATCTTGGGCATTTCAAGGTTCTAGGCTAATATCCAATAATCAGTGAGTGAATACCATGTGTCTTCTTTTGTGATTGGCTTACCTCACTCAGGATGATAATTTCTAGTTCCATCCATTTACCAAGGAACCTCTCGAATTCATTGTTTTTAATAGCTGAGTAATACTCCATTGTGTAAATGTACCACATTTTTTGAATCCATTCCTCAGTTGAAGGACATCTGGGTTCTTTCCAGCTCCTGGCTATTATAAATAAGGCTGCTATGAACATAGTTGAGCATATGTCCTTGTTATATGTTCGAGCATCTTCTGGGTATATGCCTAGGAGTGGTATAGCTGGATCCTCGGGTAATGCTATGTCCAATTTTCTGAGGAACCGCCAGACTGATTTCCAAAGTGGTTGCACCATCTTGCAGTCCCACCAACAATGGAGGAGTGTTCCTCTTTCTCCACACCCTCGCCAGCATCTACTATCACCTGAGTTCTTAATCTTAGCCATTCTGACTGGTGTGAGATGGAATCTCAGGGTTGTTTTGATTTGCATTTCCCTGACGACTAAGGATGCCGAGCATTTCTTTAGGTGCTTCTCGGCCATTCGAGTTTCTTCCGTTGAAAATTCTTTGTTAAGCTCTATACCCCATTTTTTAATAGAGTAATTTGGTTGTCTGGAGTCTAATTTCTTGAGTTCTTTGTATATATTGGATATTAGCCCTCTATCAGATGAAGGATTGGTAAAGATCTTTTCCCAATTTGTTGGTTGTCGTTTTGTCCTATTGACAGTGTCCTTTGCCTTACAGAAACTTTGTAATTTTATGAAGTCCCATTTGTCAATTCTCGATCTTAGAGCATATGCCATTGGAGTTCTGTTCAGGAACTTTTCCCCTGTGCCCAAGTATTCGAGGCTTTTCCCCACCTTCTCTTCTATTAGTTTCAGTGTATCTGGTTTTATGTGGAGGTCCTTTATCCACATAGACTTGAGCTTTGTACAAGGGGATAAGAATGGATCAATTT